ATATATAATATTATTATTGTTCTTTTTTTTTTTTTTTTGTTTTAAATTTATTTTAAATGCCACGAATGCGTGGAATATGAACGACTAGAGTACAGATAGTTCGTGGACATTATTAATATTATTATTATTATTATATATAATATTATTATTATTATTCTTTTTTCTTTTTTTTTTTACCAGAAAATTCGAAACCGATCTGTTTTAACGATTAAGAGAGAATTTGCGAGGATTTAATGACGCAGCGTTAAACGAACCTTGGAACCTTGAAGAGGAAGAGAACCATTTCCGAAACGAAACGCCGCGAGCGACGAGCGGAAACTTTCGCTCGGTATTTTCTAGTCTGCCTTGCGTTTCAATCGAAAAGACACAGTCTGCTTCCGTCCTTGGTTACCACTTCCTGCAGCCCCCGTCGACTTATATGGGACGAAAGTTTCGCTCGTCCGAATGTGAAAAAGAAACTATTTTTCTCATCTCTCTCTCGAGAGAGAGAGAGAATCGATGACCTTTGTGTTTTGCGTGAATAGAAACTAGCGTCGTTGGAATTTCGTCTTGTAGTTTCGTTTCGTAATTTTGTAATTTTGCTTCTCTGTGATACGTTCAATCCTCTCTTCCCCCCCCCCCCTTCTGACCTTTTAAACGCCACGGTTTCAAGAACAGACATATCACGGAGAGAAAGAACGACGTTCAACTAGCCAGCTTTCGAATTTCGTCCAAATTGCATTTCTTTTCTCCTCTTTTCTCTTTTTTTTTTTTTCATTTTTTTCTTTTTTTGCGTCAATGTCCGCTAGCTCGTTCGATTCCTTAACCTTCCGCGGTCCGACTCTTCGATCTAAATATTTTTCCTTTTCCGACGACGAACCTATCCGCTTAAAATAAATTGCAAAATCAGTTTTAAGATTACAAGTCGCCATGGTAATCCACGCAAGCGACTTTAAATAACGAAAATGAAAAAAAAAAAAACAAAAGAGAAAAGAGAAAAACTTGCTTAACTTGACTTAACCTCAATTTTATGGTGAAAAAAAATGGCGGACCGCGAGTGGTTGATCGATCGATCGACTCGAAAGAGAGAAGGTCGGCGACTAGATGGTGGATTATTTTGTAGACGCGTATGCTCGGGTTGTACAGATATATGTATATATATATAAATATAAATATATATATACACATACAAATGACATGGATATTCACATGTATATATCTATATTTTAATTACGAGATATTTATATACATGGAGAGCGGAAAGAGGACAGGCGGGGCGACGGTGTCGCCACCTGTCGGCAACGGCTGTAACCAAACGTGTTTACAACACGATTGTGCACCGAACGTGTCGAGAATGGCTGCGTGTATCATAAATAAATTGTACTTCAATTTTTCATCCCGAGTTCTTCTTTCTAATCCTCCACGAAGTTCCGAAATTCCGCTCCAGTGGGGAGAGCAAAGTTATCGAATCGAAAGAAAAAAAAAAAAAAAAACTGAAAGGAAAAAGAAGCCAGCGGCAAAAGGCACGAAATTAATACGCGCGAAAGAAAACATCAAAACGCATTCTCGTCGAGACGTTTCTCTTTTTTTTTTTTTTTTTTTTTTTTTTTTTTGTTCTTTAATATCAAACCACTACTACAGTTTCGGCTTGCCCCGGCAAATCGCACGCGCGCGAAAGAAATCGAAACTCGAAACGCAAAACTGAAAGAGGGGAGGGAGGGGGTGAGTCTTTCTCTTCTTCGGCCAACACATTCACATTCACTCTCCTTTTCTTTTTCTCCTCTTTTATATATTAAGAATTTTTAATAATCAATATTGTCGGATATATATATATATATAATATATATATATATTATATATATAATATAATACATTATGTTAATTGAGACAGTATGGACACAACGTATAATTGGCGCGGTCAGGTGACAAAGAAGCCTCTTCCTTCGTCGGAGGGTTGGCCAGGTCGAGGCCTCGCGCTTCGCTCGTTTTTCCACGTTCTCCTCCTCTTCCTCCACCTCTCCTTCCTTTCTCGCTCATCCTCCGAGAACCTTGCCCTCCCGAAATCGCCCGCGCTTATCACAACTTTGGTTTTTTCCTTAAGCAATAGGGTAAGTTCGACGATGGATAGTCTCTATGGAGGGCTGGATGATCATGTACATACTTGTCGTTGTCGTCTATCTCTCTCTCTCAGGAGAGTGAGAGAGAAACAGAGTGTTGTTCGGAAAAGACAATTACAAAAATCACCAACAAGAACAACGTGTCACTTGCCGTGACGAGAACAAATCGTCTTCATTTTCCTGTCAACGCCACGCAGATCTGCGATACTTATCTTTATGAAACAAAAAACAAAAAAAAAAAAAAAATGAAACACATCGAAACAATAGCAACGTATGGAAAAATGTATATTGCAATGTCAATGATACATTAATACATCTCCGTGTCAACTGGACAAAAGCAAAGCACCTGAAGCTCGTCGTTTCTTCTTTTTTTTCTTTTTTTTTTTTTTCTCTTTTAAAAAGGAAGAATTATCTCTACTCTACGGATCGCCCTTGTCGCCCTCTTAATTGAGAAACCTAATTTAACGCGTCTCAGCCCCCTCCAGTTACCACTATCACCACACCTTTGTCACAGCCCTGCCCCTTCTTTGTTCCGCCTCTCCAAAAGTCTAACCAACCTCGGTTCCTTTTCATCAATTTCCAACGTTCCCTTCACCTATCGAGGGCTCGTTTCATTTCATTTCATTTCATTTCGCCTCCAACTCGTCTTTCCTCCCGTTTCCTCACGTGTTCTCTTTCGTCGCTTCTTTGTTTCATCTTTCTTTTTTTTTTTTTTTTTTGGTTTTTTTTCTCTCTTTTTTTTCTGCC